TAATTTTACATTTGTAACAACTAGTTAAAATGTTTAATGTTGAGAATTGTCTCTGTCATTGAGGAGGTATCCCTATAAAAATACTCTGATGCCATCAAATCATTGCTATCTGGCTTACAGGATGTCTTAAATTCAAAGTTATTTCTAGTGAATAGATGATCAAAAATGTAAATGTAAAATGTAGCGACATGACCTTGGCTCAAAGTCTAATCTATAAACATATTTGTCCTGGACATATCTACATTAATTGGATATAGTAAAAAGGCAAGTTGAATGGAAACTACTAAGTAGTTGTGTGACTTTCTTTGGTTAAGTGGCTTATTTTTTATTGACCAGTTTCATTGTATGTTAGGTGAGGATAAATTTTTCTTGCTTCACAAGATTATTAAGAGTATTATATAAAGAATGTGTATTGTAAGGCATTGCACAAATCATGATTGTCTTAGAATTGCTGATATATATTTAGACATAAATGCAGAAAAAGCCTGCAACATTTTTAATCACACATATAATCCCATTAATTTAAAATTAAATAATAAAACAAAGAGGAAACATCTTACAGAAGTCTCACCAAAGATTTTAACAGAAAACAAACCAACTAAATGATGACCACTTTGTGGGCCTATTGAATCTATTTCCACCAGTGGGTGTGGTAAACCAAGAGTAAGTGAAGGAGTGACAAGAATAAGTCACAGCAGAAAAGAGGGGACTTGTATTTCTGGCATAAAAATACAGAATTCAATTGCTTAGTTAGAACATTGGTGATTATGTATCACACATCTGTTAGACTGCCCGAGAACCTTCCTTAGATGTAGTGGACACTCAGTGTCTCTGGAAGGCATGAATTTGCTATATGAGTAAATCAAAGCCTTCAAGGTTACTTACCAAGCAAGATACATTATGTAAGTAGTACCAAGACCAAGACCAAGACAAGCAAATTCCAAGCCAGAGTTCTCTACAGGCTGCCTTTTGTTGATAAAGGCCATGCTGCCAATGATTTTAGAAAGATGTGGCCATATGAACTGGGCACATTAGACCATTTCTTTTCACTAAGTTATAGTCTTTAGATTAAATGATAATAAGATCCAGGATGTGGTAAGAACATTCCTTTTAGTTACCATGAAGAGTCGACATCTACAAAGTTAAAGCGAGATTCAGTATTTTAATTAAACAAAAGGTTGAATGTGATAGTAAGACTAGACTTCCCCAAAAGCCTATTTTCTCAGCATCTGGGAAGGAGCAGTGTATGAGTCTAAGCTGTAGGATCGACACATGGGAAGAGAACCATAAGCACAGGTCAACATGCACATTCTGTTGGACAATATCTGATGCTCACACTATTCAGTTCTGAGCTATTTTTAAAATATATACAGATACAATTATATAAAATGGAAACTTTATATATGTGTGTTTTTAAAAATGATATACATAACATATTAAAGTACATCATTAATAATTTTTTTTCTCATTGGTGCTATTACTCATGCTTATCCAAGGATAAAGAGTCCAACAAACTGTTTTACTTTCAGCGGCAAACATTAATGCAGACTGCCCACGTGCTCAGCAACAAGCATCCACTGTTTTATCCATAGTCCAGTGCAACCAGTGGAGTTATGCTTCAGTTTATGCTATTTATTTACTCCCTGACAACCTGTCTTGAGCCATAAAAGTATGAAAGTGACAATCCTAGATCCGTCTGCCACAAAGAGATAAAAAATCATATAGTTTTGGAAATCAGTAAATACTTAGAACTCATTAATAATATATGAAAATGCGTGGAGTATAGATAGTGTAGATTTAGAGTGAAACTAACGTAGTATATTTGAAAAGATATACTGACAATTAGTGAGTAAGCATGAGATGCAAGAAGTTAGAAGATTGCATAATTAACACAAAGAAAGTAGAAAGCAGAAAGAAAATGTGTGGTAAGAGCAGATATTAAACATAATAGAAAACACACAATTATATTAACAAAGCCAAAGTTAGTTCAAACCTCTGGAAAGCTTGAACAAGAGAAGAAAATACAAAAATAAATAAATTTAAGAATGCAAAAAGGGTTTCACAATGGATTTAGTGAGGATGAAAAGCATATTTAAGAGTTTTATGACCAACGGGATGTATTACCTAGGAAATTGAACACATATATGTCATCAAACCAGCAATTCCTCTGTGGCGCAAACTCCAGGAAAACTTGCACACATACCCTACTCAAACACGTCCAGAATTTAGCCTGTGAGGATGAATAAAAAGGTCTAGATGGTTCTGTGGCAAAGAATGGTCTCTCCTGGATGACAGCTACTTAGAATCGGTGTTGCTACGTCAGCAGAGAAGCAATTAGCCCAAGTTCTGAGACAATAGGGCCCTGTGCTTGTAATGTATAAGTGTTAACTTGATTTCCCAAAAGCTTCAAACACCAGGAGGGAGGACTGCTGTTCACTGGAACGAGGAAACCCTCATTACTGCTGTTTCCTGAGTCCTTCTCTTGGCCTGCTGAGAGGTGGCAAGATGTTAAGACAACAGTCACCACACTGCTATGATTTAGGCTGAGGAAACGTGTAAGCACATTTCCTACCTGAGGATTTATATTCCAGGGATGTAGCAGCTACAGATACACTTTTGTGTATAACAGCAGAAGTGGCTAAAAACTATTTGGAAAAGGTGTCCTTTTCTCACTGTAACTTTACTGAGTAGGAAATTACTATTTAGCTACATTTTAATGAACTGACAAAAACATGGCGTGTCATTGGTGTGCTGCCATTCTAAGTGTAGGTTTTAAAAATCTGTATCTTTTCTCTTTAAGGATGAGGCCGAGTTTATTTTTTTCAGGGCTTTATTATTTTTTTTCTCAGTCATCATTTCCTATTGTGAACTACCATTCAAAATACACCGTAACTCTTACATCGCAAGAAATTCCATCAAAGGTGGAATATTCTCTTCTATGTGAGATTGAAATCCCAAAAGTTCTTCAAATTTCTACAAGAAACAACATCATCTCTTCTATTAGTGCACAAGGAATTTTTTTTAAGATTTTATTTATTTATTCTTGAGAGACACGGGGAGAGAGAGAGAGAGAGAGAGAGAGAGAGAGAGAGAGAGAAGCAGGCTCCATGCAGGGAGCCCGACGTGGGACTCGAACCCCGGGTCTCCAGGAGGACGCCCTGGGCTGAAGGCAGTGCTAAACCGCTGAGCCACCTGGGCTGCCCACAAGCAATTTTTTTTCTCTATTCTACAATATGGGTGTCAAGCTGCCTAATCGTAAAGTCCTTGATCTTAGCTCCTTTTTTTAGCCCTTAATTGATTACTACCCTCAATAGTTTTATAGATTTTATGTCTGGTTTTTATCCTAGGTAGGTACTTATTTACTTCCTAAATTCAAAATTACTTAGAGATAAATATAAACTGCAGTTTGTCAGTTTTGTCTTTTTTAGTTAAAATGTTGCTATTGTTAACTCATTTTTTTCTTTGTATTTTGTGTTCAATAAATAGTTCTATTTGGGGTGTAGATGGCAAATTCAATTCCTCACTAGACTCAGAATAACCATGTAGCATATAAAGTTCTGACAAATAGGGCCATAAAATTTAAAAATGATCTTTAAGATTAGGATATTTTTCTCAAAAGTAGCTTTAGGGAAATGATTTTCATAGTTCTAAATCTTAAAGCATCCCTAGCAAATAAATGGAGTTTGACACAAACTACACGTGTGTAGATTTGTATAACTTCATTTGTTAATCTGGAAGATCTCCTGAACAACACAGATTTTCAGGCAAAGGCTACGTGAAATTTCGATGGGAATATTAGAGATAGTGTTTAGGCATCAAATGAGTGATTCAATTAATGATCTTGAAAGTCACTTCCATCCCTACGACTCTCCATCATTAGATTTATGAGAATAGTGGGGAATTAACTTAAGGACCTGGTGACCTATTTTGACTTGTGAATTTAGAGGAGTTATTCATACAAATACAGTTTTTTAAGATACCCTATTAAAATATCATTATAAAGTTATTGAACAGTAACACTGTACAAAAACAGTATCAAGTTTAATCTGTCTCCACCAGCAGCATATTGTGGACAGTCTCCTATATGTTCTGAGCTGGTGGGCAAGAGACCCCTCTCGGAAGACCCTGACCGGGTCATTCAGTCAGCAGAGGTGAGCCTTTCCTTATTGGCAAGGAGAGGGAGTAGCCGGGCAGTTACCTGCAGGTGCCTGGGAACCTAGCTTCCCTCCCTGCTCTGCTTCTGCAGGTGTGGCTAGACCTTTCTCACCTTGCTGTGTCTTTGATGCCCCTTCGCGGGCAGACTGTCTTAGAACCTACCTCACAGTGGCTGTGCGACTTGTACCTCTTTGCAAAGGTAACTGTGATATCTGGGGGAGGAGCCAGTTCTCCCTTCAGGGAAGATTGTCATAGTTTTCTGTTTCAAGCTGCATTCAGCTTGAGTCGTCAACCACTGCGGCATCACTGAGTTTTGGAACAAAGCGACTGAGTCAGGATAAAATACAGCCATTTTAAAAAAAACAATTAATTTATGTTTCCTTTCACCCACAGGCCTACCCACGGATAGCGCCGGCATTTTGGCACTACCTGCGGGTAGAAGTGAGTAGCTGTACTTGCCCCCCCCCTTGCTCCTTGCACTCTGCTCGTGTGCTCTGATCGGACGTGCGAGTTTTGCTCCCTGTGCAGCTGCCATTCTGTGTACACGTGCTCTCACGCCACCACCATTCCTTAGAGTTGGAGCAGAAATCTGAATCACCAACACTCCCAGTGCAGGTTTATATAAGATAATCATCTCTCTTAATAAATTTCCAAGTCCAGGCCATATCATGTGCATCATAACGATAAATAACTCAGTGCTGAATGATGGAAAACCATGCTTACACCTCTCTTTAATCAATATTTTTGATATTCTGAGCATAATTCCTCAGCTTAACACAGCCATGTTTCTAGGAAACAGTGGAATAACTCTACTTCATTTCCTCTCTCCTCTTTTCTGTCCCCAGGAGCATGAGCAGCTCACCTACTCCTCCACGAGGTCCAAGGCACCCAGCGTCATCATCACAGGCCTCAAGCCAGCCACCAAGTACATATTTCATATCCGAGTGAGGACTGCAACAGGATACAGTGGCTACAGTCAGAAGTTCGAATTTGAAACAGGAGATGAGAGTAAGTTTTACATGAACGTATAAAATAAGACATTAATTTAGTACTATTCCAATCTGACCTGATAGTTAAAAATCTAATGTCCCCAAATGTGAATAGTCTCATCAGACAGGATTCTGTTCATGTAAATACTCATACAGACATTTTGGTTAATGTTTTGGTGCTATCATTAAATGCCTCCATGAAATGCCTTGCTCTCCCACATTGTAATGTGGCCCAAATACATCTCTTTATGCAGAATTCATCACTCACGCTATAACATAGAGTCTCAGTTGGTGGTGTCAGCCTAATTGTTTACCAGTCTTGGCATCATAATGTGATACTAATGAAAACTTGGGAGAGAATAAAGCCATGAGCAAATGATTTTAGCAGTTAGTTCAACATTGTGCAGCTTTGGCTTGTTATCTCAGATCAATAAAAACAGTGGTCAGGAGAAAAACTCCACTGAAATGTACTTTATAGGTTTAAATATAGACACATGGGCTTAATTAGAAACTCAAATTAGTTTCATAGCCTCCGCGTGTTGGAAATCAAAATGGGAGACAAAAGTGAGTGAGGTGTTCCAATGTCATGTAACATAGGCTTTGAGATGTTTTATTTAGTCTAAATCCTCCTCTACCACTGAATTCATTTTTTTTTTTTACTTTTAGAAATCTATCTTACTGTCACCTTTGTAAAGATAATGTGGGTGGCTTTTGCAATGTTCCTTTATGGAAAAATGTTCAAATATCTAATTATAATAAAAATCTCTTCCCATCATTACTAAAATACCTGTATTTATATAAGAATTCAAGAATAGCAAAAATAGTATAAAAATTCTTTATAAATAACAATAGTAATAGCTACTATATTCATTGAGCTTTTAATAAGTGCCAGAAATTATGTATTTTATATGTATTATTCCACTTAAACCTTTCCACATCCAATGAGACCAGTATTGTTTTCCTAATTTTACTCATGAGAAAACAGAAGTCTAGAGAAATAGAGCAGTTTGCCCAGATATAGGCAGCTGGTTAGAAGCAAAGCTAAAATTTGAAACTGAGGGCTCTCTTCTTCCAAGGTCTGTGCTCTGAACTACTCCACCATCCTGTCAAGTTCTTTCATTTGAATTATTAAAAAGTGATAATGGTAAGATCATTAAACAGGCTCCAATTGCTCCAGTTTGTTACTCCCTCAAAATGAAGCTGTTTGGATTTCAAATTCTGTGACAGAAAGAGTGTTGTTGTTTTTACATTGATGAACATCACTTCACAAGAACTTCCTCATTGTAACTATATCTAGCTAAAAAGTGCAAAAGCACCAACATAATAAGAAAGAACAGCTTAGGGAGAGAGAGTGGACTAATGAATAAAAAGAACACTCATGACCTGAATGTGTCTTATCAGTGATCATCATTTATAATCATACTGGAGACTAACTCTCAAGCTAGAGATGATATTGGAAGTAGCATGTAATTATCACAAAACATACTTCCATAATTTAACAGTATAAAAATATTCAAAGTGCCATCTGTGCTATGTCCTGTTGACTATTTTTCCCCTACTCAAGACTTATTCTAGGTGCAGAGCCAGAGGATGCAATTCAAGGAAAGTTTGGTTGGTCCTGGAAAGAGTCCTGTCACTGTGTTGTTCAGGCTGTGTGTACTGCGTCCTTTCATCTCAATTCTCTTACTTTCTTTCACAGATGAAGAAATTTATCTTTTTTACAAGTATGACATTTTTGAGGATTGCATCATTATGTCAAAAATATTTCTCAGACAGACTTATAAGGCTAAATCTAGATAAGTCATTTGTGTTTATCTGGGACTTCTAGAGAAAACAATCTAGTCTAATTTAAAAAAAAGCCCTGATCTAAGTATAAAAAATTAAATTTGGCTTAACTTGAAATTTCAACTCATTGTACTTTCAGGACTGGAATTCTTTCAGATGTTATATAAAAATAAGTACTTTGAAATTTCTTATCAGAAAAGGTCTGTACTCACTAGTGACTCAGAGTAATGTTTATTCATCCAACAAAAATGCACAAGACACTAAATATATAATACTCTTTGTGAGGCTCTGGGGATAAAAAAAAGGTAATAATAAGACCAACAGCCTTCACATTTTTATCGTCTAGATTTGTGGGGAGAAAATGAAAATTTAAATAAAAATACAAGGTTGGTGACATATACTATCATAAAAATGTGCAGAGGATGCTTTGAGAGCATAGAGAAGAAACCCTAGCTGAGCATGAATGGCTCATGAAGGGATCGATTGGAAGGTGGGAAGCTAGGGCTCATTTTGGAAAGAGAAGTAGTAAAGGAATAGCAAAGACATTGAGGCCTGAAGTAGCATGAAAATTTTAAAGAAGAGCAAATAAATTGGTGTGGCTGCACTAAGGAGACATACAGGTGAAATGGTGGGAGCTAAAGGCAGGAGGTTAAGCAAGAGCAACATGAAGATGCTCTTTGGCCATGTGAAGGATATCGAGCCTTCTGATGATGCTGAAGACCTGTGAGAGTCTTAATTAGGGAGTACCATGACCAGTCACATGTGCAAGACCCTCTACCAAGTAACATGTGCAAGACCCTATACTGAGAAGTTTACACAAATTATCTTCTTAATTCTGACAAGATGATTTCTCCTTTTAGAAACATAAGTAGCTTTACCAGAATCTGATAATCAATGAGTGGAGGTGCAAGATTAGAACCATAGAACCATCTGACAACAGCCACAACAGACAGCAGAAAACATGTTTTGAATCACTGATTTGTAAATCACCTGAAAGTTACTTTTATTAGATCCTTGAAGAGACAGGATGTCTGAGAAGAATCTGAAAAATGTGTTTGTCTAAACCTGGAATTTGGGTAAATAGAATGGTTCAGTTAAGCCTAGGGGAAAACCATTTAAAGAATCATTTTTTATCTGGTTAGTTTTAAATTGCATTTTCAAAGCATGCTGTTTATATCCAGAAGAGAATTTCAGTGAATAATGTCATAGTAGGATACGGGCAGGTTTACTATAAATTCAGGTATATAATGATATGAATCCCAATCTACAGCATCAGTCTTTTTCTTTTCATACCCTCCTAGCTCATCTTTTAATTTCTATAGCTTTTGTTTCCTGAGTAGTGACTGAACTAAGTTCTCTCTTGTGTATTCTATTTAATTAACTAACTTTACAATACATGCATAGAGTTGGGGGTGGGTTGGGGAAGGGAGATGAAGTTCTTGCATTTGATGGCCAGGTTCAATTTTTTTTTTTTTAAGTAAGCAAAGTGAATTAGTTTACAATTTAATTCTCTTCAACCATATCTGTTTTACATGGTTCAACTCTTCGTTTGCCAATAAGATAGTGATATAAAATATGAAAGAACTCCTTTACAAAATCATAGTATTCTTAACTGAATAGTGTTCTACAAATATAGTGGCATCTGAATAACAATCACAGTCATCACTGTTGCTCTTTCAGACCAGCAACAGGATTTTTTTTTTCCAGAGTCAAATGTAGTGGAAACTGGCTAACCAAGTGTAAAGATCACTATGACTGCTATGAAAAGAGCCTACTTGACCTAGACCTGTGGGTTTCTTCTCCCCCCACGTGTACAGAATAACCTCATTACATAAGTGTATATGGAGAGATAAACCGATGACAGATAGATGAATATATATTGATAATTAATTGATAGATATATAAAGAAAGAGGTAGATAATCACTCCTATATAGTCACAAAAGGACGTTTCTGGTTTAATGCTAGTATTTCATATGTCTGCTAACATCTCTGACAAAAAATGTACAACTAAATGTTATGTCCACTAACGGAATTTACTGAGTACCTATTGTGTATTGGTCTTTCTTAGGAGGTACTGTTTTAGAATAGATATAACAAAATTACAATAAACTACAGAATCAGTAATAAGAAAGTAGGACTATATAAACATTCCTTGTGTATCTTCTTGGGAGATAGGTGAAAGATCAGTGTCAGAAGCAAATATGAGAATTTTCTCAATATTAAAATGAAATTCATATTAGGCCCCAAGCTATCAAACACACACACACACACACACACACACACACACACAGATTAAATACAGACCTTTTTGGCTTATATGAATGAAACAACAGGAAATTTTAACCACCTTATATTTATTATAATTTCTGTCGTTATTTTCTGGAGAAAACGTGCTTCTTTTCAATGGAGAAAAAAACGACAATTAAAATTTTAAAGTTCTCTACATAACCAGTAATATCCATATATTTACAGACTTCTCAGAAAAAATATATTTGATTCAATTCTTAACAATAATCTGTTTAAAATTACACCTACCTTTTCTAGAAAAAGAAATAAAAATAATTTATTTATTTATTTAATTTATTTTTTTATTTTTTTAATAAATTAATTTTTATTGGTGTTCAATTTACCAACATACAGAATAACACCCAGTGCTCATCCCGTCAAGTGTCCCCCTCCGTGCCCGTCACCCATTCACCCCCACCCCCCGCCCTCCTCCCCTTCCACCACCCCTGGTTCATTTCCCAGAGTTAGAAGTCTTTATGTTCTGTGTCCCTTTCTGATATCTCCCACACATTTCTTCTCCCTTCCCTTATATTCCCCTTCACTATTATTCATATTCCCCAAATGAGTGAGAACATACACTGTTTGTCCTTCTCCGATTGACTCACTTCACTCAGCCTAATACCCTCCAGTTCCATCCACGTTGAAGCAAATGGTGGGTATTTGTCGTTTCTAATGGCTGAGTAATATTCCATTGTATACATAAACCACATCTTCTTTATCCATTCATCTTTCGATGGGCACCGAGGCTCCTTCCACAGTTTGGCTATTGTGGACATGGCTGCTAGAAACATCGGGGTGCAGGTGCCCCGGCGTTTCATTGCATCTGAATCTTCGGGGTAAATCCCTAACAGTGCAACTGCTGGGTCGTAGGGCAGGTCTATTTTTAATTCTTTGAGGAACCTCCACACAGTAAAGGAAGTCAAACATTTGGTTATTTAAAACACCAA